CTGTAGGCAGAGAAACAGTCGCTCATCGATTGAAGATTTTGCTATGCTTGGAAAGCCACATATTTAGAACAAACTAACAAACACGTGATAACAGACTTTCCCTGGACTGTACCACTTAAGAGTACAAGTGGAGAACTGCCTCATGGAATAATATTTTTTTAAAAAAAAAAAAAACACCCCTCCTTGTTCATGGAAAGCTAATAGCTCAGCACAGGGAGGTGCCCAACATGGTGGTCTGCGGGTGCCATGGACCTGCCATTGCCAGTTTAGTGTATTGGTTAAGAACGTGGATTCTAATCTGGGAGAACCGGGCTTGATTCCCCACTCCTCCACAGGCAGCTGCTGGTGTGGCCTTGGGTCAGTCACAAGTTCTCTCAGAGCTGTTCTCTCAAGAGCAGTCCTCGAAAGAGCTCTCTCAGCCCCGCCTACCTCACAGGGTGTCTGTTGTGATGAGGGGAAGGGAAAGGAGACTGTAAACCGCTCTGAGACTCCTTCAGGTAGCGAAGGGCGGGGTATAAATCCAATCTCTTCTTCTTTCCTCGTGCCCGCCGAGTGCTTTTAGGAAGTGGGTGGGGCCAGGTGAGGCTTTTTGCTCAGCAAGGCTTCTGATCGGGCACTGGAGACTCGATTGGCTGTGCAGATTTTTCAAAACATTCCTTTGGCGGCGGCCGCCCAGTTTCTTAGAAGACGTGGTGGGCACCAGGAAAGGTGTTGGCGGGCGCCACGTTGGGGACCCCCGGTCTAGCTGCACATAAGGCAGCTTCGTCCGCGCTGGTGATCTTCTGAACGAGAACTCCAGCTCCTTTTTAAAAACTTTGCTAACTTTGGTTGTATCATTTGTACCTGGATCGTCCAATGGCAACAGCTCCATAGACTAACTACACTTTGCACGCCAGGAAAACGAGCCCATACTTGGGTTTGTTTTCAGACAGCTGCTTAATATTATTGTGGAATTTTGCACACCGCGGGAGGACCAAACCGTAGCTGATGGCTTTTAGGATGTTGCCCCCTAGTGGCTTTTTATAAAACGTTTAGAAAAAACCCCAAACCCTGGAAGATGATTCAATGGATCGTTTTGGGTTTCAGCTTCCCCTACTGCGACTCAAATGCGGAGACATTTCCACGAGGCCATGGGAATTATCCCAGAAGTAACTGGGGTTAATCGGCAAGAAATTATGCTGAGCGAGTAAAAGGATCACAGGCGTTTCACACCATGGACTTGCGGGTTTTATGAGCGGACCGATTTGCAGTCGAAGACGACTGCAGACTCAGCGAAAGAGCCCAAAGTTTCGGTCTGGCTAGACTCGCGTATCTTGTGCCCCACCAAACGGAACATGGTCTATTTTTCACAGATGACGATCCAACAGGGACACAATAAACCTCGTTTATTTAGATAGCCAGTTTGGTGTAGTGGTTAAGAGCACGGACTCTAATCTGGGAGAACCGGGTTTGATTCCCCACTCCTCCACATGCAGCTGCTGGTGTTACCTTGAGTCAGTCACAAGTTCTCTCACGAGCAATTCCCGAGAGTGCTCTCTCAGCCACACCCACCTCACAGGGTGTCTGTTGTGGGGAGGGGAAGGGAAAGGAGATTGTAAGCCGCTCTGCGACTCCTTCGGGATGTGAAGGGCAGGGTATAAATCTAATCTCCTCCTCCTCCTCCTCCTCCTCTTCTTCTTTCCGCTGCCTTTCTCAGCAAACCTGACATGGCACTTGGACCTTAGTGACAGAGTACACCCAGAAGGTCCTGATCATTGGCATCTCCAGTTCAACGAGCTGAGGTACCAGGTGTCCGTGGGGGGGGGGAGGGAGACGCTCCTCTCAGACTCTGAAAACATTACTGCCACTCACAACAGGCACAAGGTTGATCAGATTCGATAACAAGGCACATCACTTTTTTTTTTACTCCATTCCTACCCCACCTTTCTCCCCAATGGGACATCCAAGCGGCTTGTGGCCTTCTATTTCCCTCCATTTTATCACCACAACAACCTGCGAGGTAGGTTAGGCTGAGAGTCTGTGCCTGGTCCAAGCATGGCAGAGTGGGGATTTGAACCTGAGCTTCCCCCATCCTAGTCCGACCCTCTAACCCCTGCATCACAGTGGCTTTTCTTTGTTTAGGGGTCGACGTATATTACGGATCTTGCTAGTGGTCTTGTACTTTTGCTGCAGAAATACTAACAGGTTTGTAATATTCATTTAGGCAGAGGATTCTTTAAAATTGAGCCCAAACCTTTTGGGTGTTGGACAGTTGATCTTATCTCTCTTACATCCGGGGAGATTTTCCTTCTCCCTCGCTCCATACTATCCTTCTCCCTCCCGCCATACTATCATAAGGATAGAATAATCTCTAGCGGTTTTGTGTGAGGCTGATATTTTATTGTACAAATTGTAATTTCATTTTTAGCACAATCCTTTATTTATTTATAGGGGCTGCGGTGGCTCGGCAGTTAAGATGCTGAGCTGCAGACTGGAAGGTCGGTAGTTCAGCAGTTCGAGACCCGAGTGTCGTGCGACGGAGTGAGCTACCGTCTCTGGCCCCAGCTCCTGCCAACCGAGCAGTTCGAAAGCAAGAAATTGCAAGTAGATAAATAGGTACTGCTTCGGTGGGAAGGTAACAGCATTCTGTGCACCTCGGCGTCTAGTCATGCCGGCCACATGACCACGGAAACGTCTTCGGGCAGCGCTGGCTCTTCGGCTTGGAAGCGGAGATGAGCACCGCAACCCTAGAGTCGGATTCGAGTGGCTTTCAAGCAAGGGAAACCTTATTTATTTATATAACCATTATTTATGAGAATTCCGTAATATATTTGCAAATGATACTTTACAGATTCTCCTGAAGAAGTTTGTTGGGGAAATGCATGGGGAATTTGGGGAACCTTCCTTCCTTCCTTCCTTCCTTCCTTCCTTCCTTCCTTCCTTCCTTCCTTCCTTCCTTCCTTCCTTCCTA